CCAGTCACCCCTCTTTCCACAGACAATTCTTGAGACCTCTCAAAAGTTGATGCTAGAGCAGCACCACCCACATGGACAAAAAAGCCACAAGCCATGAGTGAGGTGGTGTGGGGCAACAGTGAAAATGGAAAATTAGGGGAAACTGCCAGCTTTTGTGCCAGCTTTTGCACACAGAAATACTACTGAAAGATGAGGTTTCATTTGGCTTCACCTCCTCCAGGCTACCTTTTTCTTTTGCCCATGTGTATCCTGTGACCTCCATCAGCTTACTGGATGTCTCAGGGAATAGTTGTCAGGGGAGAGAGGAGATTGAGGGAGAGAAAAACCTGCATCTGCAAATGTCCTTGAATTTCTCCAGATCCAACAGGATATTTTGTTGTTTCTAAACTAAATAAATTGCTTATGATTCATTTCTCTGAACATCCAACATATCATGGTTACCCTCATGGTTATTCATGTGTCTTCTGTACTCCCGAAGTTGAGTGAATTTCCTCCCACAATGTTCACAAATACGTTCCAAGTTCTGTTTTGCTCTCCCTTTCTTCCCATGAGTGGCTTTCTTGACATGCCGTCTGTACAAAGCTTTCTCATAGAATTCTTTGCCACACACATTGCACCTGAAAAAAAGTGAAAGGTAACTGGGACAGACGTCCAAGAGAACAGATTTCACAGTGCGTTTTTATATGATACTTTAGTGACCCTACAGCAACAAAAGTATTTTAGGATTATGTTTTCACTTTCAAAGATGGCCATAATTGAAGATAAAGCTACCTGATTATAAAAACCTAACAAAGGTCTCAGGGAGGGTCATAAGGCTTTGTTATCATACTTAAAAGAAGCAAATTGTGTATTTGGGCTGAGAGCTAATTTTTCCTCAGGGCAGATTACTGGATGAATGTTCAGGGCCACATGTGGCATAGCTTTCAGGCATGGCAGACTACCTATTCCTCATTCTACAGGCTCGCTCATACAGTTTTTTCTTGTCCATAATGGAAAGAACATTGTAAATGGGGCTATCATAGGCTGTATAATCTGCTAAGAAATGTACATGGGCTACTCTTTGAACACACGTTTAGGTAATTGAAAATTATGCTTCATGAAGGAAGAATGGATAATCTTCAGATCACCACAACTGTAGGAAGGTGTCTTTTAACACATAAAATAAAAGGAGTCCAAGTTTCTGGCCCAAACCTCACCATAGCCACCTGTTAAGGAGCACTGGATCCACTGTTGGGGTGTGTGCATTTAAAGAGGTGTCATGCACTATTCGTTTAGGTAATTGAAAATTATGCTTCATGAAGGAAGAATGGATAATCTTCAGATCACCACAACTGTAGGAAGGTGTCTTTTAACACATAAAATAAAAGGAGTCCACGTTTCTGGCCCAAACCTCACCATAGAAGCACTGGATCCACTGTTGGGGTGTATGCATTTAAAGAGGTGTCATGCACTATTCACAATACCTCTGGATCCTTTAATCTCCAGCAGAACTGCCAACTGGTGGATGGCCCAAAACTACTTATGGATCTCAGCTGTCAATATGTGCATATAAGATAGTGAAAGGAACTTTGTCCTAAGAGGGAGACCCAGGCAAGTTCCTCAGCCTCTCTTCCCCAGCCTTTCCAGGCACTGGCTTGGCCTAGAGGCTTCTTGCACAGGGCCTTTTAACTAAGATTCAGTTCTAAACCGTTCAGTCTAATACCACACAGACTAATGAATTGGGGAAGGGAAATGCAGATCTTAGAAAAAGATTTTACAAGACCTCTGTGGTCATTACATTTTCTGAGTGAGGTGAGCCAAGTATTTTGAGCTTCCCAGCTGAAGCTGACAAAGCTTCCCCCTTTCTTGCTAGTACTCATTACAGTGTTTCACATTTGCAAGGTGCCTTTAAATCATTAATACCATGATACAAGAGGACACTGAAGTGGCTCAAACCCAAGCAGTCCAAGCTGCTATATGAGGACAGAAACCACAACTGAAACCATCTGGTGATGGTATTATGAAAAAGTAATGCATTAAAGCATTATAATTGATTCTCCCTATATTCCTGTTAAGATAATCACTAAATTCTAGTGGTTTTCTCTGCCCATACAAGGAAATGCAAAACAGAGGCATTTATTGGAAATGTTTAATCACAGGAGCAGCTGAGCCCCAGGAGAGCCAGTGTAGGTTAGAGGTTAGAGTGTGACTCGGGATAACTGGGTTCAAATCCCAATTTAGTGGACCAGTTACACACCCTCAGCTTAACTTGCTTCATTACAGGGGTGGGTGAAAGAGGAGGAGAATTATATATGCAACCCTGTGATCCTAGGAATAAGGCTGGGACAAAACTGTAGTATGATATCCAACTCTCATGTGATGATGCAGGTGAAGCCGTTATCAGAGTATCTGCTTCAAATAAAATCTCTCTAGAAGCCCTTTTGTATGCATAAAGTACCAGGTTCAGTCCATAACATCTCCAGTTAAAAGGATCAGGTAGTTCACATTAAAACAAAGAGAATCTTTCCCCAAACGTAGAAAATTAGTTCCTCTGGCGGAGAACCAGTATGCAACTTTTCTTCCAGGTGTCTTTGTTTTTTGGGTGGTTTTTTTTTTTAAGAGAAGACCGCCCTATAGACCTGGTAGATAAAGGGGCAATACGGAGCAAGCACCACTTTGATCAGATAATGGGGAAACGAACTCCTTGGTGTCAATACCTGCAACTACAAGAGCTTATAGCACGGCTCACGGAAATGGGCACTTTTCAACGGGAGCTAACGGACCTGGAGAAAATAATCAAATGCTACCCCAATGCGCCGAAGGGGACCCTATCCAAACTGTATAAAGTCATTTTAGCGGAGGAAAGTCGATCGAAACTGAAATTTCAAGACCGGTGGGAGGAGGACTTGATGGTGCAATGGAACGAAGAGGATTGGGGTGCTATATGGTCTTCCCCCGCCAATAACTCCAGTGTTTTCAATATAAGGCTGCAGTTTTTCAAACTAAGTACTAGATGGTACATGACCCCCCAATTGCTACATAAGATAAAAACAACTAATGATCCATATTGTTGGAAGGGTTGCGGACGGATCGGTCCTCTGTTACACTGTTGGTGGGAGTGTTCGGGTATAAGAAAGTTCTGGGAAGAGGTTCGGAATCAGATCACAGCCATGACTTCGATCACTCTTACCTTCAAACCTGAAGTCTTTCTACTCAATCGGTGGGAAGTGGAGCTGGATAAAAGGAATGAGGAGGTAATATCTACACTTCTAGCGACAGCACGCCTGGTAATTGCATCTTGTTGGAAATCTCCGTACATGCCCACGGTGTCAGCTTGGCTGGATAAAGTGTGGGACCATTTTGTGATGGCCAAGATCACAGAGGGTGTACGCAGGGCCCAGTCATCTCTACCTTTAAGCTCCAAATTTGAGGGTGTCTGGTTTTCAATATTCTCATCTCTCTAGGCAGGATATACTGCCCAGGAACGCGTATTACAATAGGTGGTTAGCGATGTAAAATTCGGATGTGTAAGCTGAGAGGAAGTAGGGAGGGGTTGATAGTTTGGCCTCAATGAAACCGTTGTCACCAGTTAATGCTCTTATGTAATGTATCTTTGAGAGGTACTGCTTAGTCTTTAGAGAAAGTTGTTTTAGTCTTATAGATACTGCGGGATTGTGCTTTCACGATGTTGTATCTTTGCTAACATAGAAATAAACAGTTTATTTTAAAAAAAATGTTATACAGTCTTATTCTGAAGGCTTTGTTTTTAGAACAGTACTTTTAACCCTAATCAACCAGACACGCATATAAAAACTTACTATGCATATCAGAACTAACTCAATTAGATTTTGGGAAACTAGTATCACTTCATCAAGCCTATCCATCAAGAAGTTACTAAATGTGGTATCTAGGATTCTTGCTAAATGACTTATTAGACTTTGAAAAGCAGGTATCGCTAGAACAAGTTAATCAGTTTTATTGAATAAATGAAACTAAAATGTTTTAATTTGGTTTTGAATAAATGTGCAATTAATTGTTCCAGTTTTGAATTTTATTGATATTATCTTCCTTAGTGGGTCGCTATTCTGAATAATGCTTTTGATAGGGTAAGGGACACTGTGGATGAGTTTATGGAACCAGGGAGGTTGTGGCCTGAAAAGGTTTGGGAACCATTGATTTACAGCAAAAAGTAATAAAGCGTTTTTATTTAATCAAAGGAAATTTTTACAATTGTTTCAAAACTACCAGCTACTGATTTCCTTTGAAAAAACAACAACAACAAACTGGTATTCTTTCAGCTACAGAAACACCTTCAATAATGGTTATTTCCTTATTCAATTTGGACCATCTTCACTGAAAGCAACAGACACATTTCTGTCAATATCCAATAATGTTAGCAAAATAAATGTTACTTCCATAGGCTCAAGAATCTTCTCCTACTTACTGAGTACATTGATATCCACGGATTTCAGGTTTGGGCTGGTGCTTCTTTATATGCTTACTAAGTCCTGAAGCTCTATGGAAAGATTTTCCACAGTGTGGACAGAAGTATTTTGATTCTCCTGACAAACAAGAGTTGAAACACCATTAAGGAACATTACATTGTTAAGCACAGAAGTGACTGCATTAAAACTAATACTGTAAAACTACATATGCATTAACAATATCAAACAGTGCTCATAATACACTCACACAAGTGGAATCAAGGTTGGGTGGTCAATACTAAGCTTTAAGAAGGTTGTTGCCACCAGGCAAGTCCTGCTTTCAGCCAAAGGCTTGGCTGCTGTCGCATCATCTAGATATATCATACAGACAAACGCTGGTCTTATTTAGAAAAATTTTATAGTCCCTCCCTCTTTTTTAAAGGAAACAAATGGTTTATGTAAAGAGAACCAGCTTGATGTAGTAGCTAAGAGTGGTGGAGAACCAGGTTCAATTCCCTACCCTCCACATGAAGCCAGCAGGGTGACCTTAGGTCAGCCACAGTTCTTTCAGAGCTCTCTCAGCCCCTGAAAACAAGCGTAGCTCACCACTTAGTGGTGCATAATGCTAAAAGCTATAACTTGCGGCTGCCAGACAATCTTTGGATGTCCTGGCTATTCTGCACACAGTACCATACGATCATAATAATTATTATTGTAAAGGGAAAAGTCTCACACAGGGCAGGTTGGAAGCTACAGTTCTCAAATAAGAGAGATCAAAGGAGTTAATCATTCGATGGCAAGAACACCAGGTGGGGGAAAGCAGGAAACAGGATAAACACAAATTCAGGTTTTGTCTGAAGCGAAGACAAAATGGCATTTTCTTTGATAAAAGGAAAGGAAATCAAAGATGTGGAGACAAAACAGGTACTGAGGGAAGATGTGGTTACAAGAGGGAACAAAAGCACCAGGAGAAAGACTGGCTGATAGGCTCTGAGCACAGGTAAGATGTTGGACAGGGGTTGAGTGAAAGCCAGAACTAGCACAGGAAATGGAACAGTGCCAAGAAAAAAAAAGCAGAAGAACTGGGGTGGCTCTGGACATAGGGAAGATGAGGGGCCAGAGGATAAAATGAAGAAACAAGGAAGAAGGGGGAGAGATGACCTCAACCAAAAAAGTGTTGCAGAAAATAGATAAAGATGGACATGTGAATAAGACACAAAGAGGCACATGCAAAAGCCCAAATTTCTACCAAGTGCTAACTAGGTATGTAAACTTAATTTAAAAGGCAACCCATAAACCATTAAAATGTTATAATTTAAGCATTAACAAGCTCAGAGTCTAATAATCAGTCCATAGACATATTCTGACATTACCAGCTCTGCTACTGATTTCTGTTAAGGAAAACTGGGGTTAACATGTTTGGCATCAGTCCTGCATCTACATGATTAACACAAAGGCCAGTAACAGAAGACCATACATTCTGCACGCACAATCTTTTGCCTGTTTTCCAAGCCTGCAAAAACATTATGCATTTACTTTCCACCGCTCCAATCAAGTGCATTCTAATGTACTTTTCCAGTTCATTCCCTACTGCATTTTCCTCATTCATCTCTTAGCTGGACCACTGCATATCAGCAAACAGACCACTGTGGAACTGACGTGCTCTGGTAGCACAGGTTATTGTGACTGAGGCAAGGAATGTCTATTAGGGGTGGGTGATGAATGTACTTATGGAAAGGTTGCCAGGTCACCAGTGATAGAATGGCAGCCTCTCCTCTCCCAAAAGTTAAAAAGAAGAATCCAACACTGGTCAGAGAGGAGGCAGTACATTCCAGCAACGGGGCTGAATGAGCTCCTACAGTCTCGAGTAACTCACCACAAGAGCATTCTAGTCGCCAGCCCACTCGGCTTCCTGGCCTAAAGTTTGTGAAAACCCTAATCTCACATATCAGTTTGAATTTGCAAGCCTTGTCTGAGGGTTTGTAGTTTATATTCAGTTTACACATTCTGACAGCTATTGCTGTCTGTATACCTGGGGAGAGAAGTGGAACTTATTTACCTGTGTGAATGCTCACATGCTCCTGCAGGCTTCGTTTTGTGACAAAAGACTTGTCACACAGTTCACATTTAAACTGCTTCTGTGCCTCATGGAGTGCAAGATGCATCTTTAAACCATGCTTGTAGGTGAATGACTTGCCACAAATCTATAAGACATAAAATTGCCAGCAAGAATGTTAAGGTATTCTCAAGCAGACAAAAACATTCTACAATAAATAAGCTTCATGGA